CGCATCTCGAGAACGCTGTCGATACCGATCATCCGGATACCGTGCGTCCGAATAGAAGCTAATCCTAGAACGAAGATTACCTCGACTCCACCGACAAATGGACCCCGAAGAATTATTATTCCGAGCGAACGGAACGTAAACACAGCCCATGGAGATCATCGAGACGCTTTTACGGATTTTCATCGACGCTCGCGAAACATTTAAGGCCGACGCACACACGCACGCCCTGTACACGTATAGAGAACTCGGACCGGGGATAACGATCGACGATAAGCTCGCAGGTTAAACACTGTATTCGAGACGTGACTTATGGGATTCGATCGGGCCGAAGAGGCGCGGATTCTACCTACAAATTTACTCGTTTACTCGCTTCGTGGAATGCCATGGGCTCCCACGGGACCAGGCGGCGTGCAGCGGCGATGAGCGGAGCGGCGGTGAGCGGAGCGGAAAGAGAAGCGCGCACGGCGGGGTCCGCGATCACGAGCTGGAAATTTATCGGTTCGACGGTCAAAGTGTGAATTACGTCGATTCCAGCGTGAGCCGCAATAAAATATTTCCCAAAGCTTCATCGCATTGTGCCGCCGCCGGTACCCGCTTATTTACATCGCTCGTATCTCACGCGTTTCGCGGGCAATTCGAACGCGCGCAGGCGCACCGCTATTTATTAATCCTCGCCCGCGAACCCCCGGCCGATTCTGCCGTTTCCGTGCCGTTTTCGAAATTATTTATTCCCCATCGATAGTTTTGTCGTCGGTGAATTTTCCTCGATAACGACCTCGCGCGCGACAGCTGCCAATTATCGAGTACCGAGTTTTTACCCGCCAACGTTTGTTTGCACAGCGTTTTCTCGAGTCCGAACGGAAGTTTGCGTTAATATTTAGCCGCGAGAGACGCATCCTCGTTGTCCCAGAAAATTAACCAGTTGTTCGTCGATGGAATAATCAACGCTTTCGTCGAGATAGAACTCAGACGACACTAGGAAGCGGGCAATCATTGGCAAAAAGCGTACGCGTCCTCTGTAATTTACGATCATCGTACGTATTATCATTTATACATATTACGAGCCGAATTACCGCACAGGGATAATATTCGCGGCTTTTTTCCGCCACGGTAAAAACTATCTTCCTCCGTGGATCTAGCGTAATTGCCGTGCGACGAGCGGCGAAAAAGTCCAGGCTAAACACGATTATATGTGCCTGCTCTCTCATAGCACGAGACAAAGCTCAAAAAATCATGGCAGCGTCGTGCAGAGTTACATAATTCATGACAGCTACTTCCCCCGATTAATGCCCGGTTCTTCTGATAAAATAGAAAGGAAAAAGGAAAAAGACAGGCCCCCTCGAAGAAATATGAAAAATAGTTTGCACGCGAAATCACGACGGAGGATGATCTTCCCACGTCTCGCATGATTCATTTCCTCGAAACAACGCGGAATTTTCTCGCCACGCATAGATACTCGCGAAGATGGCGGAACGCCGCCTCCGCGTTTCGCGCCGCCATAAAACATAATGGACGGCAATTTGACAGGGGCTGCGGGAGAGAGTTACGAGCGCGAACTGCACAAACTTCCTGTCGTTTCACGGGGTGGCGGAACACGGCCACGCACACGCTGGCCCCGGCCGTGAATTCACAAGCACGTGCAACTGCGGCGCGCGCGCGTGCACGTGGCTTCCGGGCCCCCGGACGCGCGTAATCTCTCCTTCTTTACTCGTCCCTGCCTCGCCACGATCTATGATCATTGCGCTTTGTACACTTCGCTCGCATTCCAAGGGAACCTGCGCGGTCCGCAGAAACCGGAAAAGGAAAGCAACATGCGATGCAATTAGCCGTCGCGGCGAACCACTCGGCCAAGTCCAAGTTACGATGCCGGCAACGAGAGGAGAGGAGAGAGAAGGAGAGGAAAGAAATTTAAATGGGCCAGGCTAATCGTCAGGGGATAGTCGAGTCGCGTTCCATACCCGGATCAACGTCCCGACCGATTCGACCGCTTTATTTCGATTCCATTCGTTCGCTGATAATTCCGCGAGTCTTGGAATTGTCGATTTCCTCTCTTTTATCGCGTAATTAATCGTGGCAAATAATAATATGAAGTATCGATCACGAGAGATCCGTTTGCTAGAAATCTGGTCGTCGGGTCGATCTAAATCTTCGTCCATCTTGGCAGGACGTGGAATTGCGCTCGGGGAGATTGAAAAATTACGTTTCTACTCAACGAAAGCCATTAGCGGGTAAATGGAGGTAAAAAAGGCAGCCGATAAAGTGGTATCCAATTGGTATCAATTTGAAGAGCAAGAGGAGGATCGGTATTTCCGGAATTTGCGTGCGTCTACGAGGAATCCTAATTGCAAAGAAACGGGTCGCGCGCCCCCCCTTGGGACGATGAACAGTGGACACGGGATGGAAAATGGTTTCTTGCGGATCTCGCGGCAGCGAGGAATCCGATGGGGTTTTAGCTCGCAAGCGAAATAGCTAATGCGACTGTTACTCATCGTCTGCGCCGATTTCTTACACCGTGGCTGACGGACAACGCGACGTCTCAATCGACATGGCGCACGAAAAGAAGGTTACCTGTTCTAGTTCTTTCGATCGATGATCGACGACGAACCGTCCGCGACGATCTCGCGGAAACTCATTAACATTTAACCGGTAATCAGAGCGGGTGATTAACGAGGCCGGTACTCGGCGGCTCGATAACAGCACACGGAACCGTACGATCTTATCATCGGCGATCTCACGGTCTGACGTCGTTAACAGTCGCCGGAGATCCATGAATGCGGATCGTCACGAGCCAGTGACGGTGATCCATGCCGGTCTGTCCGTGTCATCGTTTCTTGCTTAGGCCACGTCCAGCTAAGCATCCGGCTCCTTTACATTTCCATTTTATTTATGGTTATCGAGCGTAACTAGCGTGGCGGTTCGCGGTCATCGATGATTTTCTCTATTAAACTCGTTAGTCCGGTGTAGGATCCCCTTGTTCTCCCTTCGCGCCACCGCTTCTCTGCGTTCTCTCTGCAGCCAGCACACGTCGAGGCTGCACCTGAGCGACCACGTTTCTTCAGCTACCGGCGAGAGACTCGTGTACGCGTCAGCGTGTGACAGCCAATGTCACGGTTTCTCTGCCGATCCGGGTTATTAAATGCTCTTCC